AAAAAAAAAAAAAGAAGAAGAAGTTTAACCACTTAAAGCTGGCCAGAGAAGAGTTAAAACTGGACCTCACGGCGAGCACGGGGTCAGAGGTGGCTCCAGGCTTAAGATCCCACGGGAAGGTCGCAGCCCTGAGGGCTGTCCAACTAAAGCCGCCAGCCTCCAGCCACCGCCACTGAGAAACCGGCCTTTGTCCCACTGGACATTGGCAGACCTGGGCTACCGCAACCCAGCTCCCCAGCGCCAAGGCGTGTATGTGGGTGGCCAAGATGGGCGGGTCGGACCCTTGCTGGGCTGCCCACTCTCCTAGCCCTCGCTAGGGTCAAACGGGCCTAGTGCCTGGGAAGGGGTCACCGAAGGTGAGAGACGCAGGAGCAGACTGGTGGCACAGACTTGCGGCTGTGATTTCCATTTTTTTTCTAAACTGAGTCAAAGCCACTCGAAGGTGGTGGTGGATCCTTCCTTGTCTTGGTTCTGGAACCTGCTCTGGGAATCTGGAAGCTGCTAAGTCAACTTCCGTCGGAGTGGAGGGCTTTATGTACAAAGTCAGTCTGGAAAACATAATCGCTAGGTTTATTGTTGTATTGATTTGTAGGATTTCTTTATATATTCTGCACTATGCTTTCTTTTTTTTTTTTTTGAGACAAGAGTCTCACTGTGTCACCCTTGTTACAGTGCTGTGGCGTCACAGCTCACAGCAACTCAAGCTCTCTTGGGCTTAAGCGATTCTCTTGCCTTAGCCTCCCAAGTAGCTGGGGCTACAGGTGCCCTCCATAATGCCCAGCTATTTTATTTTATTTTTTGTAGTTGTCATTGTTGTTTAGCAGGCCTGTTCTGAGTTTGAACCTGACAGTCCTGGTGTATGTGGCTGGCGTCCTAACCACTGAGCTATGGGCACCAAGCCTAGACCAAGCCTTTTATAGCATATACTTACCCCCAGTCTGTGACTTTTCATTTTCTAAAGTGTCTTTAATGAGAATACATTTTTAATTTTGATGAAATCAGTTTATCACTTTTTAACTTTATAGTTTAATGTCAACCTTAAATGACAAGATTCATAAAATATACACCTGTAATCCCAGCACTTTGGGAGGCTGAGGTGGACGGATCCCTTGAGGCCAGGAGTTCAAGACCAGCCAGAGCAACATACTGAGACCCTGTCTCTAAAAAAAAAAAAATTAAACATAAATAGCCCAGTGTGGTGTCTTGTACCTGCAGTCCCAGATACTCTGGAAGTGCAGGAGGATGGATCACTTGAGCCCAGGAGTTTTACATTACAGTGATCTGTGATCATGCCACTGCACTCCAGCCTGGACAACAGAGGAGACCCTGTCCATAAATAACAAATACACGTATATATATGTATATAGTTAAGTATAGAGTTTATTCCATCAGATTCAAATTGCCCTGAATATATGCTATGATCAGCAACAGTTACAAGTG